AGTAACCACAGCAAGACAGAGCTGAGCAGTCAAAGCTTTCCAGATGGCAAAGTGCTGCTGACAGGACTGGTTTTAGATCATCAGCTGCAAGCCTGGGTGAGCAGAGCTGCTCACTACCAAAATGCTCTTCTGATTTGCACAGACACAAACTCAAACCCCACCACTTCTGTCCTTCCTGAAATACACTTCACAGGGAATGTAGCTGCAGTTATCTCAGAAAAATGCCTGCCTGGGCTTGTTTCTCTTAGAACAGTTTTTGAGGGCAGCATAGGCTGAAGACATTCCTCCTACATTTTTCTAGTCACAACCACTTGTTCCCCAGTGCTTATCAAAAAGGCAGAAAAATGAATGAAACTTTGGAAACTACTAATCAAATATAATTTTGTGACAGACTCTTGGCAAGATCCCACTACAACACTTCTACACAGCACCAAAATAATGACATATACCTGATTATTTTGCTATGTAATCTGCCCAAGGTGATGTCCTTTAAAGTTCTTAGCTGCATCAAAGTTTTTCTTGTTTCAAATAGTGGAAAAGTTTTTGTGCAGTACAAGCGATTTCAGAAATTACAAATTGAGTCCTGCACTGGTCTGGCATTTGACAGAAGAGCTCATGGAGGAAAAATCCCCCAAAACTTAAAGGCATGAGGGATGAGGAGAGTTAGAAAAACACTACAGCATGTGGCAACACAAAAACAACACAGCTCATGTGGCAAACTTCTTGCATTGCTTGGACATAGAGTTAGAAAAACACTACAGCAAAACACAGCTCATGTGGCAAACTTCTTGCATTGCTTGGACATGCTGGTGCCAAAATCAGAAGTTAGCAGGTGACATGAATTGTTAAAAAAAAGAGAATAAAACAATTCTTTTCTATTGCAGTGAACACAAAATCATAAGGCAAACAAAGTTTGGTTTGCAAAGCAGTTTAGAGACCACAGGAGTCTGTAAAATTTTTGGTCAAGCCATTCAAATGAGCTGCATGGGAAGCCAGCTCATCGATCAGAAGACAGGAGTTTTCTGACTGTGTGAGCAAACTACTGAAACATATAAACTTAGTGACCAGAAAGGTTGTAAATGTTCAACTCCAGGTAGGCCAAACACAATAATTACACTTTTCTCAGCAAAATTGCTTCTGAACATACTAATAGATCAACAGAAAAAGGGCTGGACAAAACAAGCATGGGGACCTTGAGATATGAAGCAGGGGCACAGGAGTGAAAATAAACAGGGGGAAAAGAGCATTGCCTGAAGAAACACTGAGAAATAATACTGAAAGTTTTGGTTTTGGAGTCTTAATTTGTATGTTCAATGAGGAAGTGTACCTCAGCAAAAAATATGGCCAGGTAGGACACTTCAATTGCACCTCTGATAGTGGTTTTGCAGCCTTAATAATTTTTAACAATTTAATATGTAACATAATCCTCACCAAGAAGCTGCTACTGGATCTCAAGGATCTAGTAAGGTCTAGAAAATACAGAAAAACACTAATTATTACTGCATGTCCCCAGAAAGCATAAAAGAAGTATCAAATTTAAAAGACTAGAAGGAAAATAACATGAACAGATTTCTTGTTTTGGGTATTCAAAGATGCAGAAAGATAAATAACAGATTCTATCCTGGTTATTTTTTAAATAGCCAAATATACAGTTACATAAACACACACAAACACGTATCTACTACTTTTACTCATTTTTTAGATATGCCTAAAAGCAGAAGTGTAGGAGTGTTGAACTCTACCAGCCAAATCTGAAGTGATGAGCTAGAAGCAGTTCAGGCAATGAAAGACAGAAGTGGTAACTGAGTGTGCTCTCAGAATTCATACCATGGGTTAAGTTCTGTAGAGTGCCAAAATTACCATGCAAATCTATCCACAGATAAAGTCTCAGGTCACCTGGACCAACTCAGATGTGTATGTGATATGCAGTGCAGAACATAATGCTTGGTCTTATTCCCTGGAAAAACCCTGGTTTTTACTCCCAGTCACAGAAATGTTGAACTGAATCTAAATGACAGTGAAGGCAGAATATCTGTATTTTTGCTTTAGCAGGTTTATCTTTTCAGATGATCAAATATAGGAAACAAGCATTCATACCTATCAGGATAAAGCCATAATGAAAATTTTGGATGTCTGCATTTTGCTGACAGGCTCACCCTGACCCCAGTTGCACACTAATTTGCTAATCAGTACTCAGGTACTCAAACTACATGGAAATCATGGAACAAAGCTGGAGTACTTGGAATGAGTTAAGGACAAAACCCCAGCAACTAAAGCTCTTGATGTGATTAAATTACTCTTACACCTTATATACTCTCACTATATATTAAGAGATATTTTTATAAAAAGATTTTTGCAACTATGGAAAATTCTACATAATAATAAAGGCTCACAAAAGATTGCAAAACCTCTTGATGTTTTACTGATAAAAACCATTCTGTTAAAAGTTATTGCAAAACTAAGCCAGTGACAAAGGGTACTCAAATTGCAGCAGGAGTTTTACAGGAAAACAAAAGAATCTCATTTCAGAGCCACATCAACACCTCCCCCCTTTCCCTTTTGTTGTTCTCTTACATAAAGATTTCTCTGTACACAAGCTGCTCTGTAATAACATTTGGTAATAGAAAAGACTTCCTTTCAATGCTGCTATTTTCAATAGCCACCTTCTGGGTATTCCTGACACAGCAAGGTTATGACAGAAGAAAAGGAACTGCTGAGTCCTCTGTCAGTAGATTGAAAGAACAGGAACAAATGTTGTGGTAAGGGAAAAAGTTCTTGACATTCACATTTCTGATGCAGCTGCCTCTAGTTTTCTACCTTCCTGCATCTTCTGTTTTCCTTACCATATGATCCAGCTTCCAAGCACTGCAGGATCACGTTAACTGATGGTGAAGCAAATTTGTAATTGTCACTGACTATAAAGCCTTTAAGCAATGCTGAAGGGGGTGAAATGATGTACACAGGCTCAAGAAACCTCTGGTCTCACAGAGCAGTGAGAACAATTAGGACAACTGCAGGCCATCCTCTGAAAGCTTTCACATTTTGATTCTGACATCAGAGGTGAATGTGGGACACAGGGAGTTTGTCTCAGGATGGAGTCACTTGGAAAAGTCAGGTGAAGTTCCTGGCACCAGACAACAGTAATTTTGTCTACTCTAAACTGTCTAACTTCCTAATTAGACAGGAGCTAAGGGAGCACAAAAACAGCTGAAAGATACCTGAACCTTACATGGACTACAGGGTGCTGATTTTCCTGTGCAGCAAAAAACAACCAAGCATTTTACATTTCAAAATAACATTCACAGAAAGTCTAAAAGGGAGAAAAATGTAGCCTGACTATATTAACCTTACAGATTTTATTAAAGCACTTTCACTTTCACCCATTCAGGTAATTTCTAAAGTGGTCATTTATCCTATTTCCTTTCAAAACAACATCTACAGTGACATCTAGAGCCTGGATACTGCAGTAGTTTAACATGTTCAATTCCCAAACCCCACAGCTCTGCACTGCTTTTGCCAAAACAAAACACTGTTGGTTTACATTGCTTTAGACTGATACCTTAGACATTTTTTCCTAACCCATGTAATTTGAACAGGTTCATTTCTAAGGATGGTATTTAAAAAAAAAACCGAAAACCAAACCTGTGATTCTGAGGTTCTAAAGAGACAGGATAAGCATTAAAATAAATCCCCACTTTACCCTCAGCAAAATGGCTTCCCTCAGAGGCCCTTGAAGCTAAAACTTGGGGTTTTTTTTCAAGAATATGGTCCAACAAAAACAAGTGGAGCTTTCACAAAGACACAGCAACATAAAGATGACGTTAATTCTGAAATTCATGTGGTACCAAAACCAAACAATTAAAAGTACCTAGAACCCTCAACACGGAACAGGATGAAACATTCTACCAGCAATTAAGAGCTGGTATTCAAAAATTCTAATTTTCAGACTCTGTTTTAAGAAATGACTATTAAAACAACAAACTTAAAAAGAAAGCCTGTTACGTAATAATCTTCATGATTTCAAAAGGAAAGGAGTAAGAGGTTGTGAATGAATGTCTGGGTATAGAAGACCAAGTGACTCCTCATAAAAACCACCAGTTCAGTGTCTGTACTCTCTCCCCTCAGAGGTCACCTGCTGGGGTTTGAAGTGCAGTTTACCCTCCCTCCATCTTCCCTATTCACTAAAATCCAAGAGCCACTTCTCAAACTTCACCATCAGAGCTTGCTAGTATTTTCCTTAACTCCTACAATGTTTGACTCATTTTGGATGAAACTAGGAGAAGTGGGAATACCTACTTTAGGCAATGACATTAACAAAGAGTATGCATATTCAAACTGAAGCGAGTCAAGCCCACTTGGGTTAAAACTCCCAGCTACTAACATTACAGTACTTTAGGATAAACTACTTCCATAAATATTCATAGAAACAGTACAAAGTTTATCAGATTAAAACCAATATGTACATACACTGGTCTTAAACACTGCATTTATCCTCCCATATTAAAGAAGTTTTCATAATAATAAATATTTATTGGACTGTCTCCAAGAAGCAGATAATATTACTAATATTGTAGCATTTAAGCCTGTGCATCTCCATGAAAACTTAGTGTGAATGAGGGCTGTCATTATGCTGTCAAATTGATGCCAATAAACTGCCAATTCCAGTTTAATTTATGCAATTAATTTATATACACATTTTCCTAACAAGAAGAAAATGCAAGCAGATTCTGTATGAATATTCAAAAACTAGAAATGAAACTGACTTTCCAAGCATGTTGTAATCAAATGCATGTACAATTTGTGAATACAGACCTCCTAAATGTTCTATATTGATGGAATTAGGGTGGGCTTCAATCTTACATGAAACAATAAAAGTAAAGACACACTTAGCAAATAGAGATTCCTTTTCTACAGTTCCTCTCCTCTCTAAATTACAGAAATTGAAATTCAGTACTTTACATTATTGTGGTGAAGAAAAAAAGGTAATTAAGCCCCCTTACCTTCACATCTCTGTGAATTATATTATTATCATGACAGTAACGTAGAGCTTCTAGTATCTGTCTCATGTAATGACTGAAAAAACAAACACATTATGCATGAGAAACCTGCAGGAAAAATTACTGTACACATTTAACAACCTAAGTATCAAGAGTCTAGCTGTAAAAAACTAATCAACCAACTTAACCTCAAATATACAGAGTTCTGTAGAATGGAGTTTAGGTTTATAGTAGTGAATAACACAATCTGAAGTTTGAGAATTATTCAGATTGAAGATGAGGGAAATTAGAAAAGAAAAATCAGTAATTCCACACCCTGTGCTGCATCAGAGCATCACTGTGGCTCAGGGAGCCAATCCTTATCCTCTGGGGTCCCCAGCTGGATAAAGGCAATGATTTTTTCCACAGGAATATCACAATGCACTGGATCAAGCTGCTCAGGTGGCTGTGGAAACTCCCTCCTTGGAGGTATTCTACACCCAGTGGACAAAGCCTTGAGCAGCGTGATACAAACACTGTGCTGAGCCTGCCCTGAGCAGGGGGTTCAAACACTGACATTGATGGCTCCTCCAACCTGGTTCCTATCAGGCTAAAAAATCTACAGTGTTGAGAAAAGCAAACAAAGAATGCTGTGGGCTTTGAGCTCATCTATCAGGCCATTAGGAAAGTGGATTTCATTATCCTTTTGCAATTTTATAGACTCTTTCATCTTAGTTAATCTCACAAGTGAAAAGGTGAGGTGCTCATAAATACAGTGATACATTAGAAAGAAGAAACCAACCAACTCCATCTAGCAAGATCAGTAAAATTCAACTCTGGCAAAATTCAAGTCAGGCAAGTCACTTAATGCTATCATATGAGAGATCCATAAAGGCAAACACAGTCAATTAGGTATCAGATGTGAAATACAGTTTTATTCAGTAATCTCATCCAAATCTGTAACTAGTAAATGGCAAAATGCTCCAAAATTCTACCTTGATTATGCTAATTATTGCAATAAACATCTAGAGTGTAGGAACAAGATTATTTATAGTACAACTTTCAAGTTTTAGCTAACAGATTGTACAACACTATATTCAATTCTTTTCTATTTATCCTGAGGGATTAATTAAAATTATGACGAATACCTGGCTACAGCCTCACTGTAGACAAATCCAGCATCTGCTCTCTTCACGATTTCAAAACACAGGTCTGCTCCATCCATACTGCAGGTAAAAAGAGGCAAAATGCTTAAAACTGATAACTACAATCAACTACATAAAAATGCTTTAAAAATCTATTTATTTCCCTTACACAAATCTTACATAAAGTACTCTAGATACAAGTACAGTAGATTACTCATTAAAACAGCATTTAATGGGTAATGTAATAGAAAATGGCTTGCCAAAGGTTAACCATTTTATGTCCCTCAAGTCATGTAACAATTCTCCTAAAGCATTACCAATACCAAACGTTTACTTAATTGCTTGAACTGGTCATTGAACAAGGTGTGCACGAAAAGTCAATGCCCTGCAAAGAGGACACTGCAATTTAACAATTAGTTCCTGATATTAGGTTAAGTGTGTTCTTATAAGCATTGCAAGTGCCACTCTATACTAACCACTGCAGTAATAAAAAAATGTTACTCAATTTGAATTTTAAATGAAGACTTTGAAAAATACTCTAGAAATACAGTACAGTCTTGCCAGTTGGCATTCTCCTCTGGATAATTAAGCAGCCAAGAGGAGATTTTACAGCTCATAGATACCTGAGAACACTGACAGCTCACATACTGTATCACCAGCTCTGGAACTTGATACCTTTTTCCTCCTCTCCCTCATCTTTCTGATAACCAAATTTCCCACAATGAGCAGCATTATACTTTGGATGCAGATATATTCACAGACCTTAGTCTGAAATTAGGCTGCCATTTCTCTAAAATGAAAGCAGCCTGGTGCTGGCCTTTTTTTCCTCTCCTGAAAGGGACCTAAGATTGGTACCTAGAAATGTTCACAGCCTGACAGGGCAAGAAGAGTGTAACAAGAGTTAACGGGAACAATAAAAATCACATAACTCATGTTTAATAAGGCACTTGCAAAAATATTGAATGTAACATGACATCTTCAGCCTTCACACCTTTTCTTTTTACTCTCCACAGAGAATCAATGGAGGGAAAAACCCAGAAGGCAGAATTTCCAGGACATCTGGACAGCCAACATTCCCAGGGCTGTTTCAGTAAGCTATTCAGAATATCAGCATCACTTCTGCTCTGTTACATACCTGCAATGTCAAACTTCTGTCAGGGAGCCACAAGCCATGTGCAGAAGCTTTAATTCCCAAATAAATCCCCAAGGTCTCCCTCACGCAAAATCCACTATCATGTGGATAGAGCACTGACAACTGTAAGAGGGACTGGTGACCAAAAGAAAAGCACATTGAAGAGTGCAAAGAGCCCCATATTCCAAACCATGTCTGTTCTTCACTGCACTCTGTAGGTTTTTTCCCAGCAGTTTTTCTGTCTTGCACAACTCCTGACACCAGGTCTGCATACAGGGCTAAATATCACCCAGAGGATATCACAGAGTCCCTACAGCAGCCATGGGGCAGGGTCACTGAGAGCAGCACAAACCTGGAATTCACTGGCTCACTGGAAAAAATCCCTCATGGCAACCTCTCAACCCTCTCTCAAATGTGGAATATACAAAATGTAGGATCAGCTACCAAAAATAAGGAGATGTCATTCTCATGAAGCAGCAGAACCCTTCAGAAGACTAATTATCTGTACTTTATAACAAGTCAGGGAAATTAAAGATCCAGAGGCACTCAAGCTTTTTAGCAGCATCAATAGTTCTTCAGACATGGAGGGAGGAGTGTAATGTTTTTACATTAATTTTTCTATTACACAAGGTGTTTATAATCAGCATGGTCTTTAACATGTATTTCTACCTCCCACTTACAGATTGCAGCATTTTTAATTGAAATTTTGTACCAGTAAGTGCCAGTTTGAATTTCTTCTTGGCACATATGTTTGAAAGTTTTACTCCATTAAGACTAACTCTGTTGGCCTCCCAAGCACAAATATGAGTCAGGTGTAGTTTAATCTGTGACTTCAATTGACCATTTTTTAAAGACAAAAAAAATTCCTTTTTTTAAAGAGAAGACTTTGATTCATGTGTAAAGAGAACTTTTATCACTCCATGTGATACAATATATTCAATATTCAATATATTTCAATATATTGAAATATATTGAATATATATTGAAATATATTGAATATATATTGAAATATATTTCAATATATATTCAATTTTTACCTCAAAATCATGAGACTTTTGTCTGAGGCTGAAAAAAAAAGCCAGAGCCAACCTCAGTTATACAAAATCTCAGAAAATTCAGTTAACCAACAGACTAAAAACTCAGCAATAGCTCAAACACAAGATGACTTTGCAGAAACTGAAAGCCTTGTATGATAGGAGAGCAATTGCAAATACTAGCATAAGCACGTGAAAACCACAAAAAAAAAAAAGAAAAAAAGAGAAGTTACAATCCACTAAAGTAAACATACAAATATATTCATGCTGAAGACATTAGTGGATGATGCAAAAAAATTTGGGAAAAATCAGAACACAGTCATAACCTGAGAGAATTCCCTGACACCAGCAGAGGGAGCTCATGGAAGGGACATGAATTCACTGGGACCGATGTATTTTAAATAAATAAAAAAATATACACAATAAGTAAAAAAAAAATTAAAAAAAATTTAAAAATCTCCTCTGACACCAGCAGTGACTGAAGAACAGACAGCATATTGCATAACAAATCTGTGTTTTCATATTGGGGTATGATAGCTTTCAATTTGCAGACCTGATAGGATGTGGCTTAGAATTTAATTTATGAGAAAGCTTTACAACCACTGCTTCATTCAGGGAACTGAATTATCAGTTAATAAAAATAAGATAAAAAAATTCAGAGTTGACATACTGCTCATAACTGAGTTTATTGAGTTTTGTACCATGTATGGTCAAGGCTTGTGCACAATGGCATTTCCCCCTCACCTGAACAGTTTTCATGTACTTGCCATCTTCACTTACCTCATATAAGCCAACTGCAACCCTGTTAAGTATTGCTTTTATGAATTTGATATTTTAAACATGAAGCATTTTTACATGTCAGATACATTAAATGGCAAAGCTATAGGTATACAACTATATTTATATATACTTGCTAACTGCTAAATCTTAATGTATCAGTTCTTCTAATGTCCCCAGATATAAATCTCTCTTAGAACACACCACCTATGTATAGTGTTAAGACAATATTCTGCAAATTACCAAATACCAAGGTATTTTGGAATGCACTCACTGCTCTGTATCTGAGCTCTTCAGCACAGAAGTACTCTCAGTCCATATATACTGAGGATAAACTGCAAATAATATACTCATAAGTCTAAAATCTAGTTTTCAGACCCTTCAAAATGAGTATTTGCTTTCTTTTAGAAATATTGCAAGTAGCTGTGACCCTTCTCAAAGTATTCTCACTATAAAAATCAATGATCATTAGGAAAAAATATAATAAGCAACAGAACATTAAGTGACACTTGGTATACCACAGAGAAAACAGTATTCTAAATTAAACCAGGAGGCTTATGGGGGACCTCATCAGTCTCTACAAATGCCTGAAAGAGGTTGTAGCCAGGTCAGGGTCGGTTTGTTCTTTCAGGTAACAAAAGCAATCAGAAAAGGCAAAATAGCTTCAGTTTGTGCCAGGGGAGGTTTACATTAGATAGCAGTAAAAATTTCTTTACTGAGAGGGTTGTCAAGCATGAGAACAGGATGCTCAGGTTAATGGTGAAGTCACCATCCCCGGGGTTCTTTAAAAGATGTGTAGATGGGGAGTTTTGGGACGTGGCCCAGGGTTGGACTTGGCACTGCTGGGTTAATGGTTGGGCTTGATCATCTTATGAGGTCTTTTCCAACCTAAATGACCTCATGATTCCATACAGCTGCCAGCAAATAACACCAAAGATGGGAAAGAAAATAGCAACTCTATTACAGAGAGTAGAATTGGCCTTTCCCAGATGTAAGGTGTCTCCAGAGCCTCCAAGGGATCATTTCCTTCAGAGTAAAGAGCCCCTCTGGGGGGCAGCAGGGATGTGTGTGAGGGAAATCATTTTGCATAGGTGGATCCTCTCTTATTTGTAATGCAGTAACACCTAAATACTTCTAAAATAATGTTTTCAGCTTAGCAATAAGGCCTTCTGGGATAGGGTCTGCTTCTTACTCTACACATGCACTTCATCTATTATGGCCACCTGCTTCACTGCAATTTATTACAGCAGCACCATGCAGCCTGCTGGTAATGTGAGATATGGGCCATTCTAAAGAGTGCTTGAGCTTGTGTATGAATAAGGGGTTCAAAACAGAGCTCATTTTTTGGTGTCAAACCTCATTGCTACTGTGCATCTTCATCATTGCTTCTATGAATCACGATTTGATTTTTAAAATGTTTCTTTTCACAAGAGCTTTCAAAATCGGGCACAAATTGTATATTTTCCTGAGTGGTTCAATCAGTTGTTCCCCGGCACATGCTACATTAGCTTATTTGACCTGCACTTTTCCTGTATCAGTAGGCTTGGCAAGATATTCAGTGTTCCTCTAGCAGCTGTCCCATGCAGCTCACAGCCTATGGAACAGCAGTGAACCAATGTATCATTTGTGTGCAAGTGATGGAACCAAGTTTTAGGTTTGGTTATTCCACACATTTTATGTGCTGGGCCTGCCTTAGTTTTCATGTAAAGCACCTGCCAGCCCATAAATCACTCATCACAGCTGGGTTTATGTCTCCTCTGCAGATCTGTGTTGTCTTCCCCTTTTCAGTCCCTTCAGAGTAACTAGACCCTAATGAAATATATTTTATTACTGTAGACAGAAATTTGCTGCAAATCAGTTGAGCTGGTTACAGTAACAGCATAATGAACAGAAAGCAGTATGGAGGAAAATGAATTACCTACATGTACAGAGATGCTTTGCTGCTAACTCCAAGTTTGTTTTCCTGGTCACAGTCACAGTGTGTCCCCAATGCTCAGACTCAGACAATGCAGTCTCACCCCACACAAACACCAGCCTGCTGCTGAATCCCTTTACCAAAGCATCCCCTCCAGCACAACACCACATCCTGCCACAGCCCTTCCATTCCCTCCCACATCTCGAGCACAGGTGTTCCTGCAGCCCCATTTTCTATCACTGCTACAAAAGACTGATGATTTTTGTATACAAAGGAGACAAGGACATACATATGATAAACAATCATCATCCCTCAAATAATTTAGCTTTGTAATTCCTTCTTTCATGTGGCCTGAAGTCAGGTGCAGTATTTGTGTAGTAATTCTAATTGTTCAGACTTGCTTTTTATGTGTACAAACACAAATTATAATAGGGTTGTCATTAAAAAATAATTACTGCTTTTGTCTCATATTTCTGAGCTATCAGCATGTTAAAAATAGAAGCAACCCCTTTTTTTTTCCATTTCAAAATCTTGTTAATTATCTGAGTATGACTACCCAAGGTGTACATAATTATTTCATAATAGGGTAATTAAAGTCCCTCGGTCAATGCTTTGGGATTTTCAAAATAAAATGCAAAGTCAGTATTGACTCAAAATGTACAGAGAGGAAAGCACAAAACAATTATTTCACAAAACTGTAAGTTTATAAACTCATTTAAAAAACACAGAAGACTTGCAAACAACAATTTTCTGCTTTATCTAATATTTTTATTGTGGCTTTTCTACTACCTCAGTGGTAAAACATGAGAGAATTATTTTTTTTATGTGGACATCTCAAATCAAGTTCTTGGCTCTAGTGGGTAAGCCAGTTTCACCTAACAAACCTGTATGATGTGCTTACTCCAACATCAGCAGCTCAAATCCATCAGAAAACATACTGGAGGAAGATCAGAGAAATTTAGGAGGTAAAAATACATATGCCTAGACTGACTAAGAATGAATATATAGGGAGCATAAAAAGCAGAGTTGGTAGGCAGAGAGAAAGAAGATCAAATACAGAACATGCACAAAAGACCATTTCACATGTCTGGTTGTATCCTTCCCATTTAGACAAAACCTAACTCAGGAAGAACGAATAATTTTCTCTCAAAGAAAGAATGTGGTAATTTCAGGGCTGTCCCCCTTCTTTGTTTCTTAATGTTGAATAAAAATACCTGTCCATTGCTGAAAGTCATGTTTTGTTACTTCTTACAACTAAACTTCTACATTCAAGTTTTCAAAACAAATATTGTAGACAAAAGCATCTCTTACACTGCAGCCATCAAAAAGCATCATGCCTGTCTTTACAAAGCTCTGATGTTCACCACATAGACAGTGGGACACTTGTTTTTTTTTTATTTGGGACAACCTTGACTTGCCAGAAATAAGTATTTTCAAACTACTCAAGCCCTCTGAGCTACAAAACCTACAGGTATGAGCAGATATACTTTTAGGATTTTATTTAGAAAATATCAACACAGAAAGGTAGAATCAAGGAGATAAACTTACAACTCAAAGACCATATAAAGCATTCCATCTGAGCTGTATGTCTCCAACAGTTCAACAATGTGAGGATGCTTCAGCATGTGACAAATACTGGCTTCTCTCTTCAGATCTGTGGAAGATAAGAAGGTAGTTGCAGATTAGCTGTATATTCAAGCTGTTTAGAACACAATCTTTGGAAAGATGTACACATTTGAAATTTCTAATAAATTCATTAATCTTTATACAGAACTCTGACAAGATGATATGCAAGCTGTTTAGAACACAATCTTTGGAACATTTGAAATTTCTAATAAATTCATTAATCTTTATAAAGAACTCTGACAAGATGATATTTAATTATGCTTAATTCAAATACTCACATATCTCTCAAAATTTAACAGACTCTTGAATTCATACATTAATAGAACATCTCCTTGGTCATAGACTGAAGAGCTCTACAGAAGTTCTTTGAATGTACAGTTGCAGACTACACTGAGATTTTCATCCTAAATATTTAACAAGACTGCAGAATTATCTCCAAATGCAGAAAACAAATTCACCACACTACAGGAATTATTAATAAGTGGAGTCTCTAAACCCTCTGGTCAAAGCAAGGTGAACCAGAGCCGATTGTGCAGGGTCACACCCAGGTGTGGAAACTCCAAAACCTGCCCAGAAAATCTACACCAGAACCTGATCATCCTCAGAAGTAAAGAAGTGTTTTTCTTATGGTTACATTTCTTCCAGTTTACTTCTTCAACAGTATTTATTTTAAAATCACATTATATGAAATGACACTGAAAATTTTAATCAGCATGCGTTAGTTTGCATCTCTGCTGTAGAGAAAAGTGAATAAAGCAGGAAAAGTTGCAGCTAAAAGAAGAGTAGAAACCACTCTGAAATCTCTCAAAGCTTAAAAGATTTTGTTTTAAACAACACTCTGATTACAAATCAATCCTTCTGCAGATAAAGAAATGCAAAAAACCAAACCACACTGAATTAATTTTATTTCTTCTTTGTTGAAACAATTTGGTATTTTTGTTATTTACTCATCCTTAAACTTTTATCTACTTGTATTCTAGAAGGAATAGCAAAATCTTGAATAAATAGTTTTGATGATAATTTGATAAATGAGGAAAATATCTGAAGCAGACATTTTACTTTTCTATTATCTTTCTGTACAATTCGTCATTGTTCAAGAATGACCTACACATACATTTATGGAGAAATAAAAATATGATTTCTTGGTTTGAGAATATTCATCATATAACTGGGCTACACTAGAAAGAAATTTACAATGCACTATTTCACAATGCCCTCCTACATTCTTAACATGAATCAATTATATCGAAAAATGCAAGCAGCAAGATGAAGATTGCTTTATGTGAAGCATCTAACAGGTAACTCAGATTTATGCTAGACCCTGGATCTTTCAGCCATCTATAAATTCAAATGAAAAGGTGAGAGTTTGGAAATTACTGAATTTCAATCCAAGAAAAATGTTCAGATCCACAAAGTGAAAATTTGTTATCAGAACTTTCATATGACACCTGCATTATGTGTCCCCTCCCTCACAACCTTGCAAATACAATCTAAAAGCAAAATGACAGAGCAATCCTTTAGAAACCATCATGTATTGGCACCTTAGGAGGTGCAAGCAGAACAGCAAACAGAAGTATCATTCAGTGATACAGAAGAAATTTTGATAAAGAAATTAATGTAAAATTTCACCTTTATTTGTCCATCTATTTATTTAGATGAAATTCTGCAGCCTAAAGAAACAGCAGTGTGTCTTTCACTACGGAAAATACTCATATTATCAGTTCTTACACCACCTTAACGCAGAACAACTACCAAAGCCACGCTTCCCTTCCATCACGACAGGCAATGATTTGACACTAAAGGTTCCCACCCCTTTCCTAGGTGGAAAATACTCACATTATCAGTTCTTACACCACCATAACGCAGAACAACTACCAAAGCCACACTGTAACCTTCCCTCCCATCACGACAGGCAATGATTTGACACTAAATGGTTCCCACCCCTTTCCTAGGCAGAGAGGTTCACTCAAGTACACATCCAGCCCATTCTAAACAGGATCAGAGATGAGCACACTGAGGAGCAGTGTAAGAGAATGAAAAACTGTGATTCTGTAAATGACTATGATCTTCAGAAAAGAGGCAGCTTGTATTTTGTCTCTCACTCTGTAACAACTTTAATGCCACCACTTTTTGCCGTGGATCAGATACCTATTTCAGATGGAAAGCCAAGTGAAAATATCCAACATGAAATTGCAGGAAAGTTCTGCTTTATTTACAGGCAAAAATTGTGCTCAAAATAGTTTATTTTGGCTGCTCCCTTTATTAATATTTTGTGGGCTTTATTTGAAAAGAATTAGAACTGAAAGGACGAAAGTATATGCTGCCATTTCCCTCATTCCTCTGTGTAATATTGGATGAGTGCAGCAATTGCTCAGACTGAGCACCAGCACATGAGGAAGGAGAAACAAAGTGGAAAATAAAATCTCCAAACAGGAAAACAAATGAATAGAAGTTACAGAACAAGGCTTTTTATGACTAAGGGGTCTTGGGGCTAAGAGCAGAACAAAGTCCTATTTTAAACACAGCAGGGACTTGTTCAACAGTAGGCCTATCAAGAAAAAGAAAATGAGGTATAAAGAGACAGACAAGCACATACCACACTGATTCAACAAAGCCACAGGGCAGGAAAGAGCTGATGGATTCTGAAGCACATTTGGACCATGACCCAAAGGTCAAAATAAGTAATGTTTAAGATCCAGTAAAAGGGAAAGAGGAGGAGAAGAAAAAGCAGAGATGACACATGTTTCATTGTTTTCACTTAAAAAATGACATCAGCATCTACTCAATCCTTTAGCAAATGCTGTTTCTAGACTGAATTAAATTTTACCTCCCACAGGTCAAAGAGGTAAATAAATTCCCAAGCACCCACAGACACATTCTCAATCCAACACAAACCCAAGCAGATGTTCACTTGCACCAGGTGATGGAGGATATCCCAAGAAAAATCCCATTATTATCTTGTGAGCCACAACATTATCTGTGGCATCACTGTGAATACCACATTATATAAACTATTTGCTACCTCCTGTTAAGTTTTCTAAACCTCTGCTGAGTATTTGAGCCATGTTGTGTAGTAATAAAGGTCCCAGACACACTTCCCATATTCAAATTGCCTTTCATATTCCAGACACCTATAAAAGATTCAAGACAGCTCTAGAATCTGCCAAGATGGCAGCAAGTTGACTTTAACCAGCAAAAGGTGATGTGTCATTTAGTAGTGGTCATGTGTCCCATATTTACAGCAGTTTCCTCCACTAGTAAACAAAATTTAGCTCAAAAGAACATACCCTGCATGTCTTGGGATCTAAACCAAACTGTCATCTTTTACTGGCTGGACTATTTAACTTCATTTGAATCCTTTCTGAATCCTTCATCTATTTATTTTTCTTTTGTTCTTGATATGGTTGAAGAAATTACTTTCTGGTTCATTCTTTAAGCCTCCCCTGTCAGCACTTTTTTCAGAATTAAACATAATTGACAACAGTGATAATAAATAGAAATGCAAGTTTTAAAAGCACAAGTTTTAGAAGTTTCTCTGCCAGATGCATGAAAGTTATTGTCACACAACTAGGAACAGGGAAAATGACCTGGTGTTCCATTTAACTTGTTTAGCACACAGCCTCTTACTTTACATCATAATTTAAAAGGCATTTACAAGCTATCCTTTTACACAACTGTTACCAATAAATGTTCCAGAATTTCAGTCTGTTTACAAAACTTTGAGCGTTTTTTTTTAGCAACTGGAGACAAGTTAATGTTTCCATTTTAGACCTGGCTACTTATTTAGAGAGGCACTAAAGTTGTTTAAAGGGCAGGAAAGTTCAGACTTCAGTAACAAAGAAGAAAAATTCAAAGATGGAAAAGGGAATTCCCAACCATAATCACCACACACAGAGAAAATGCATCCTCATGTGTGGAGAGCGACACTGGAAGTGAATTGCTTGAAGCACTAAAAAAGATAACTGCTCTATATAATTGCACAGAAATATATATCAGTCTTCGATAAAAACCATAAAACAAGAGTATCACTTAAAATTCCCATGGGAATTAACAACCCAATATCCTACACATCTCTTGACAATTCTGGCAAACACCTAATTTCCTTTAAAATCTGCTACCCAAGGTTTTAAAACATCTCAAATATACTGAATGTATTTTCAAAGTATGTTCATGGAAAAATTAGATGATCTCTAGCAGCCTACATAATAGCATCAATTCAGTATTTTAAAAGTGATGTGCACAGACTATAGCAGCCCCATCTTTTTTTGGGACAGACAGCTCCAAGTTTCTCAGCAAGATGGAAGGCACATGTCATTTTTATGTATACACAATACATTTTTATACATACACCATTCTGATTTTCCAGGATCAGTCCTTTAAAGGATTAGTTTTGCAGCCACAGCTTGGGTATGACAGTATATTGAAAGGAAGTATCTTCAACAGTAAGCTTCTTGATTAAAATGCTTCTATGTGTTTTATACAGCAAGATATGATTATTTATAATTTAAATAGATGTGGTAGTACTGTTTTAAGGAGAAATCAATATGCTTTGTTCACTTGATTATGTCACTCTCACCAACCATGCTTTGGTGAGCATCGTGCAGAAGCTCCTGACCACCCAAATGGAATTCTTCCAGAAACAACTAAACTGAACTGTTCGTCTTAAAATATGCCTGATGCACCACCTGAAGCAGAGACAAGGGAGACACTGAGATGTCAGCCCTAGTGTTTCACCCTACACACAACTGTCCTGTGGATTATTAGCCTTTGCTAGATGTTAAACTCCCACTCAGGCTCCTGCTCAGCCAGGCAGGGGTAGAAAACACAAGTAATAAGAACAAAAAACTCACATTGAGATAAAGACAGCGAGACTGTTTATCAGCTACTATTTTCCGCCAAACAGCCTTGATGAAATTAACTTGTTTTTTTGCCAATGAAAAGAAGATAAACATGAAACCAAGACATTTCCTCCCTCCTTTCATGGGCTCACCTCCACTCCTCAGCTGTGAGGGGGCAGGGGTGAGGGCC